AAACACAACTAAAAGGCATAGATATATATTGTTCGGCACTTTCGGTACTACTCATCAACAATATCAATTAGCCTTTGCTAACGGCAAGTGTTGGCAACAAAATAAAAAAACATTGTTTCGCTCTTTTCTTCTATTATACAAAGGCAAGCTTAACTTCAAGCAAGCATAAGTTCATGCAAGCAATTATTAAAGCATGGGCAAGTTCATGCAAAGCAAGTGTTAAAGCATGTATTCTTGCAAGCATGATCTCATGCCTGTGAAAGTAGGATTCGCTTTCTTAATCAGTTCTTGCTCGGTTTTTAGATCGCATTGCTCTCTTGTGGAATAGAGTTTTCGTTTATTTAATTTTCCTATAAATATTTTATATGTTGTAAAATTCTGTACAGTAAAGTAAATACCTGCTCGCTTAATATTGATACGCTCGTTAGCGTGAGCAACACAAATATGTAAAAGACCATTAATTCAATTACGTTGTAGTTTGGGTGTGGAAACACATGTTAATTTGAGTAAAATGTGGCCATTAGAAGAGTGGCAAACAAAGATTATATCGTCTGCGTTATTCTTAAAAGAGAAAACGAACCTGAGTCTTTTTTACTTTCATACATTTCTTAGAATATTATTGTTATAACTTTTTTTTAATATTATTGTTAGAATATTCGTTTAAAAGTTGAAACATTTTTAATGCATTACCTTGAGATCACATCTGTTAATCATTTGTCTTAAGGTCAAGACAACTTTTTGTATCCGTTATAGTTATCATGTTTCTGCATTCGGCTTTGCGAGGAACTGCGTATCGTATCCTCGATTAGACGAATATAGTTTACTAAGTTCTTATGTTAATCAATCATTTATAGAATCTGTTATATATAATACAAAGGAAGGGAAGTAGGTATCGTATATACCTACGGGTGATGGTTAGAAACAATTAATCGTAACGCATTGTAACATTAACTTCAAGTTTCCATAAATTTATTGCAAAAATAGTTTAGCAAAAAGCCATTAGGTTAAATTTCCAGTTTGTTAAACATATAACCACACGCTTCGGAGCCCTTATATGGAACCTTATATATTTTTCCGATTGAGTAAACTTAACGATGCAGCGATGTTTGCCTGTTAAAATGATCTCAGGTCTAAGAAATAAAATGGATTTTTTTGGTCCAGAAGAGTCAGCTAAAACTCTTCATCATTAAATTCATCATAAACTCAAAATTGATCTGTGTGTTTATCTCTGAAATGGGATAAAATGAATTTCGAGACATTTTGAGGATTTCTTTTATTTATCAACATACGATTTTCGCTTCATATATATACTGAGTTAAAACTTTTTAGAGTTTAGAGAATTAACTAAATCTTCAAGCTGTAAAGTCACCAAGCCAAAATCAAACCGCCCTATGGATTGAATCAAAAGTGGTTTGGGTGCAAAAAGGAACAATTGGAAAGTATATATTAACATTTCTAGATGAAGTGGATTCGAAAACTCGCGTCAGCGTAAGGTCCCCGTTATTTCGCGATTTTATGTTACGAGAGAAAAAGCGATGCGATCGCGTTTTGGAATAATGAAACTCGATTACTTTCGTATCGTGTACGATGGAATATTGGTGATGTTATTCGTGGACAAATTCGAGCGAAGTGAGGTGAAAAGAAGAAGAAGAAAAAGAGAAAGAAAGAATATACAAACGAATTTTTCGAAAATTATTCGTTTTCATATTGTA